TCCAATCGTAGCTCAAAACGTCTTGTATTATTCGTGCAAATAATCCGATGCGCGCCAGATACTTTTTTTGTACATATGAGCTGCAGAACTTTTGTACCAATAAAATGTTTACGTCAGGTGACAGGTGGTTATGATCCCCAAAAAAGTTAATTTTTTCATATTTTTTCGTTTTTACTACTCACCTAGCGCGATGATATTTTATGTCTATTTCAATCCTGTAAAAGCGTTTTTAAATCCGTTCACTCGTTTCGGAGTTATCTATAATTAGAATGCAAATATCGGTATTCCAGCATCGCCTTAAAGATATATGAATATTATAACTGAATAAGTAATCAGATATACATACGTATATAAAAAATTCAAATATTTGAAAATGTTTAATCTGTTTTTGAATTAATTGACAAAAGAAGTTTATAAGTCTTAAAGGCTTATATTTTGAAAACTCTCGAATATTAAGAAGATTTGCAATTATTTAAATTAATTAACTATTTTTACGATGTAATTTATTCATGTATAAATGTATTTTTTATCTACATGTAATTATTATAATATACATCTATAAATTATGAATAAATATGAATAATATAATTAATCAATATTCTTTTATTTTATTTTTCTTGGTTTCATTAAAGTATTTTTTAGCTGTACAACAAAATTCTTCAATTATTTAGTAATAACATGGCATACAAAGTTGAATCAGAGAAAATAAATATTTAGGAAGATCGTAATGTATGTGTGCGCGTGGAAATTTATTGACGTATTGGAAAATTAAAACAGAAATAAATTAATGTATGAATTAACAAACATTCTATGTTGCTTTGCTTTCCCATATAGAAGAGCTTTTCTTATTTATAAATTTATAATTCGTCAGTCCAGGGAATCCAGAAATGTTTTTAATTACGCACAAATCTCCAGCTAACGTTATGAAAAATTGTTTAAATGAATTTTTTTCACAATTTTACATAATTTTAAGTTATATAATCTTATTCTTCTGCAAGTTTTAACCTTCAAATAAAAAAAAATTATTTAATTACTATAATTTTAAGCAAAGATATTTTAATTTAATATTTTGTCTGGTACACTGGATCCGCAAATATTAGTTAATTGTAAGCAAATTTTAACGATTAGGATTAAAAGAATAAAATTTTATTACGTATAAATTTTATTATTATTATATAATACGTATAAATAGTTTTTCTAAATTTTAACACTATTGATAAAGAAAAAACAAACGTTATGGCGAATAAATATTAAAATATTGAAAATAATAGAAATACTAAAATATTTATGTCTGCATTTCTAAATTTTAACACTATTGATAAAGGAAAAACAAACGTTATGGCGAATAAATATTAAAATATTAAAAATAATAGAAATACTAAAATATTTATGTCTGCATTTATCAGAAAACATTATATAATAATGTCTCGTGCCATAAGGGCTCAAACACAATAAAAAAAAAGGAACAAGAAATTAAATATATAGCAAAAGTTAGAGCAAGATGAAAAATCTCACTATCTTTAACTTTTACCTAATTCCTAACATTTAATCCTCTTTTTTTTTGTATTAGAGCCCTATAGCAAGACCGCCTCGTGACTACTTTACGTGAATCGGCGAGTTGCGAATAGATACCGAGGCTTAACTAAAAAAATAGCTTGGATTTTAATTATATGTATAATAAAAGTGTTTTTATTTTTTTTCTACATGCCCTACGAGTGGAGATATTGCAACGTAAAGTTAAATAAAAATTTATATTTAAGAAACGTCATTAACATTGTTTTTATTCGTTTATCATTTTATTATCGTCGTCTCTTGTACATACATATATATGTAGGGAATGAAAAGTTACTTTTTAAAAGTAACTAGTTATCGTTACCTACTCGTTACCGAGTTAAAAAAATAACTAGTTACCGTTACTAGTTACTAATTTTTAAAAATCTCGTTATCGTTATCGTTACTTAAAAAATACCGATTTCTTACTTTTCCGTTACTTTTTTAATGCTGAAACAAGATCAGTCTAAATAATTTAAAATGTAATTTTTTGTTTTAATATTAATAAAAGCAACAATAACACTAGACTGATACACATATAAAAATACAACTAGGAAAATGAAAGCCTTTTCGATATGAGCTAGAGCTTCCAGCTTTGTCGCTTAATATTTAAAAATAAATTTATATATACATATCCAATTTTACAAACTACGCGCCAATTAAATTTTCGATCTTGAAACGCAATTCTGCAGCTAATATTTTTCACAATAAATTTTTTAAAATATTTTAAGATGCATATAATGTAAAAATATCTTATTAAATTAATTGTCAATTTAATTTGTGATATTGATTGACTTATGGCATTCTTGAGATGTCATAAACCAATCGCAGAGCCACATTAATATTTTAAGACATTATTTAAAACAGTCTTAAAATAAAAGTAAACTATGTAAATACTAACTAAAAACTGAAGATTAAATATACATACGAAAATTTTGTCATAAATACAAAAAGTAACAATAAAAGTAACTGTATAATTCGTTACCGTTACCGAAAAAATGTAACTACGTTATCGTTACAGTTACCATAAAAATAAAATAACGCCGTTACCAATCCGTTACCAAAAAAAAGTAACTGTAACGGTAACGGCGTTACAAGTAACGAATTACTTCCAATCCCTGTATACATGCATGCATTGCTGCAATTTCTGATATAAGAGTGCGCTAGCGATAAAACATGCGTAGTGATGTATGTACGCATGTATATTGAGAATGAATGAATGAGAAGAAGAAGCGAGAGCATGATCGAGTTCAAATCAACAAAACAGCTATAGTTTTCGTCGAGCGATAAAAGAGAGCGAGATTCGATTGGCGGTCGATATCGTCATTAAATTTTGTGGCGAGTTTGATACGCATGTTCAAGAATGGAACGAACGATAGAGTGAACGAGAGAACGAAAGAGCAACGAGATCCGATTGATGATCGATGACGTTGCTAAATATCACAGCGAATTTGACAACTGAAATATAGTTTGAAGTGGCATATATGTATTACGTATAAGTCTTGTAAACAAAAAAATGTGGACGATTATATTATACAATTATTATTTTATATTATTGTTTCGTAAATTTTGTTTTTTGTTTGCGATGAATTAAGTGTATATACATGTGGCAGGAAAGAATATAATGATTAATATAAGAGATAAGTACATAAACATTATTATGATATGTTAAAATTTGTTTAACTACACGTGTACATACAAATAAAGAAAACAGCAATCCGTATTGATGACAATAAAAACAATATGGAATAGAGTCTACGATTGAAGGCAAACCAGTTCGCAGCTTGGCATATGACTATAATTCCTGTTGATAGTTAAAAAATATCTAAGTTTGTGAAAAGACGAAACATTAAATAATTACATAGAATTACTCTATTTTTAATATATAATAAATATAAAATAATATAAGTCTTTTATTAAATATATTTTAATAAAATGAAATATCTGTAAGTTGCTTTAACTGAGACGTCAGCAGTCCTTAATTGTTACAGAAATCAAATTGTATACAGAATATACCTAATAAATTCTCAATGCGTCTTCCTCG